TGCTTTCCCTTCCCTGAGTCAATATTTTCTTTGTGACAGAGATAGAGTGTGTTCCTTTAGGCAGTAGTTAGGGTTGATTGTGCAAGGCAGAGCACAGACTGTGGAAACACAAACCAGGAAACAGAAACCTCGCCCCAGAATTCTGCAAGCCTAGGTAAGGCTCCCCCTTTCCTGCACAGAAGCACCAGTTAAATGAAGCTCTGCTGTGCAGATTTCTGAAGCATGCTCATCTATTCCAGGTCTTCCTGTAAAATAATTTATCTTCCAAGGTAAACTGGTTACTTCCCTGAGTCCCTCCCAGGATCATTCCCCTAAGAATTATAGCCTGGCAATACTTGGATGGTGACAACGAAAGCAAAAGCAAGGTACTGCACAGACCTGTCCCTGCTCCTCATATAATTAAACCACAGAAGTCAACACACTATCTTATCTTTAAGTAATTTATTTGGTCATACTATCTATATAATACTGGGAATTTTTCATTTGCAGATATAATATACATAATAACCCTAAAGCACAGTAATCCAATTCTGTTTACTTTGTGGCAGTGAATGGATGGAGGTATTAGAAGGGAGAGACCAATGAAAGATGGAAACATACTATTTACTGATCATTTACCAAACCTGAGGAAACCAGAGAGACCCACATCAGTGAGTCAGAACTGACTCCTAAGTTGTCCCTCTCTACTACACTGACTAGTATGGCTGCACTTGTCAACTGGGGACTTTAACTTGAGCAGAAATCTGTTTGCTGGTAATGTCTACTTCTTTATTCTTCTTAGGGACACTTTGTACACTATATGTTTCAGACACTTGACGATGACCTTCGGGGCTTCTCTGAGATTTCTCTTTAGATTAAAGTTAACCAGTTATTTTAACTCTTTTCTAAGTGGCATGGCCTCATGCCATGTAACAGTAAGTTAAGGGAGTCTCAGCTCCAAGTCACAAAAACTGACTCTGGGTAACAAATTATGTAATCTTAGAATGTACTGGAAAGATATGAGGGAGGGCAAAGAACTGAGGAAAAACTGAAGAATCGGGTCTCTGAGAACAAAAAACGGAGTAGCTCCAGCATCTACATATTAGGAATTAATCTATCGTTGGATGAAAGACCTGTGACTGGAACTGTCATTCAACCTAAGATTCAAATAAGAGGAGGAACGCATCAATTTGCCTAACCTGGGCTATGTGGCCACCACCTACTTGGTCAGGTGCTTCCCCAAAACAAAATTGAGCTGCTATTCTCAGAAAAACCTGGACTGGATGCTGGGCAGGCCAAAACAACACACGTCCACTACACTCTCAAAATGTGATGCCCCAAATGCAACATGAGAACCCAGGTGTAGACGAGGGGCAAAACCAGGGTATAGCCTTCATCCTTGCTGTATGACCTTGGACAAATGGCCAAACTTATGCCTCAGTTCCCATCTACAAGACAGTGATGTCACAACATGTTGTACTTTTGACAATCAAACTTTAAAAAATATGTGAAATGCTTCATCACCTTAAAGCTAACGATACTAGCTAGCGCTTATGGACTGCCTGTCAGACATGTTACATAGGTTACTTCAAAACGACCCTATGAAGTAGGAGTTATGAGCACAAACTCTGGAGCCTGACAACCTAGTTTAAAAAAAGTTTTTTAAAAAAGTGGTATTTGGACTTTAACCCTAATTTCAAGTCACACAAATTAAGGATATTTACAAATGAAACTCAAACACAAGAAGAGGAAAATGATCAGTTGTTTCATGTCTTTAGAATGTCAGCTAGAAGGCTAAGTAGATATCTAGGAGGCAGAAATAATCTTATCACTTTGTTAAAAAAAAAAAATCTCAGCCCTAATCTTAGGCCTTTCTCAAGTACAAGCCTCTGATAACTGGATTGGTGCTTTCAATCTCTTTTCTAATGTTACTCCTATTGATAAGGCTATTTAATGATTCTAAAGAAGTTATCTTCCCAAATTGTTCACATCATTAGCACAGAAAAAAACACATACAAAACCTACATCACACTTAGAAAAAGGAGGAATGTGTTTATAACTGGAAGAGAGGCAATAAAGCTGGACATGAAGACAGTTAACACTAACTGTGCCTCAAAGTGAAGTGAGTCTTTCTCCTCATTTATGAATTGTGATCAATGAAGTAACGAGCCTAAATGTTCAAAAAGGGGAGGTGATTATATGTATACTATTCAAACAATGGAGTCTTCAAAATCAGTTCATAAGCCACTGAAAGGAAGCCTCACTTTTTCTGCCATATAATACTGAGTGCTAGGACCTACCATCTACTGAACACAACATCCTATGAGATGGTCATTCAACAAATATTTATGGATTACCTACTGCTATTCTAGAAGATAGGGGTGAGGTGGTGAAAAAGACAAAGACTTTACTTTCCTAGAGCTTATGTTGCAGGCAGGTATTAGAAAGAATAAGGTTCAGTTCCCAGGTCTGTTAGACTCTAAAGCCTACACTGTATATTTCACCTGAATCATCTCTCACTGGTGAGATACAGCTTCTGCTATAAGTCGTGACACCACTGCCCAGAACGATTTAGGGTTTCTCGCTGTTGACAATCCAGTGTCACTTTCTCAGTGAAGCATTCCCCCCCCAACTCCCAAGAGAAAAGATTGCTCAGTCAGCAGTTAACGTATCATACTGACATGTATGGATTTTTCTTCCTCATTAGTCCCTAAACTCTTTCAGGGCAAGTACCATGCTTTAACCTCTTTGTACGTCTAGAAGATGGTACATACAGTAGGTATTCAATAAATGGCTGAGTGGAGCTCATGGGATCAATTTCAATAGAGCTGAGGGTGGAAGTCAGACTGTAATGAACTAAGGAGTAAATGGAGTAAATGGAAGGGCACAGTTTGATTTCTTAGAGCAAATCTAGAAGGGAAGAGGAGGAAATAGTTTGAAGGAGAAATGTGATCGCAGGAAACTTTTTTTTTTTTTAAAGAGAAAGACCCAAACATATTTGTTGGCACGGTTTCATTCACAGTAGAAAGAGCAGGGGTATCAGAGTCAGGCTTGAATTTGAATTCTGGCCCTGTCCCTTACTGTAACTGTAGGAAATTCACTTAACATTTATACTTCAACTCACACACATTTAAGAAGAGAATGATAATACCTACGCCTCCCAGTAACAACTATAGCACCTGACAAACAGAAGACATTCAATAAGTGGTACTGACGATTATTTCTGTATGTGGAAGTCTGGACTGTGGTGTTCCAACCTTCTCATATAGCTCGTGCTTCAGTCCAAATATCCTGTCTCAGTCTATGTGCACTGTGTGACGGCAAATAAATAGGATTCTTATTTTTTCTGTGTGTACCACCCTCTATGCTATCCCACCTCCTTGTGATAGTTGGCATGAGCTCATGAACGGCTGTTATGGAAAATTACTTATGTCACCAGCTGAGGAACAGAGACAGTCTGGAAAATAAGTAGATGAAATTGATGTTGAATCATCAAATGCACACAATTTGGGGCTCCTGCCAAAAGTCTCATTGAGAACTAAGAAGAAACTCAAAACATAAACACAGAACATTAAGTTTCTAAGCCAACAGGTGTTCCCAACAGCCACTCCAGGCACAAAAGATGCCCATACGATGTAATGATTCTCTCCTGAGTTCCTTTCTCAGTATTTCATCCTATTGTCAGTTAATTTGTGAGGTCTACTCTAGTTCACCGACTTCTCTGCAACCTGACAAGATCCCAAATTCACAGCCTTTTAAAGTTCATGCTCTGGCCATTGGTCATGTTCACCTGTTACCCATTATCTGATCAACAGAAACACCCTTCCCTCCCAGGTCACACATCTCCATGCCTAAAAAGATATGAAAAAGAGAACTAAAGCCCAGGCTAATGTGACAATTACTGAAAAGGCTACATGCACTAAGGATTATCAAGACAGTAAAGATAACCTTTATTTAGAGTCAATTACAACCTAATCTTGCAGAACAAAGAAGATAAATCTACTGTTTAGAGTTCAGAGAAAACTGGGAGATGAGGAAGTAGGAAATACACGTGTATCTACAAACTTAATCACAAACATAATCATTAAAGTTACAAGTAAACAAGTCAAAGTTGAAAATTCATTTTTTAAAAACCTGATTAGGAACTTGAATTTGCCAAGAAAGAATACGGCAGAAGGGCACCTCTAAATATCCCACCAAAAAAAAAAAAAGAGCCATCAACTCACCAAAAATCTCACATGCTGCACAAGACTGCCCAATATGACAGTCATTCATCACTGAAAAGAAACTTTAATAGGTCGTCTTCTCTTCATATAAGAAGCATCCTGGATTACTAAACTAAGTAGAAGAATAATTTTCCAAATTTCAATCCTAACCACAGTGGGTGATCCTAGCCAATACATGCCTCAATTTCCCCAACGTTAAGATACAAACAATATTACAGTGTGTTCCGAGTCTCGGCCTGAATTTGCGCCTGTCGTTCGGGCCCCCGACCCGCATCTTTAACGCAAAATCACAAGTTACACCTGAGGAAAAGTTTGCTGCGTGAATGTGCCCCAGACAGCTGGTCTTTAAAAAAAAAAAAAAAGCCCGCATCAGGTGCGTTTTCTCTCTAAAATTTTCCAGCTGCCGGAGTGGGACGCATTCGGGCTCGCGGCCCCCGGGCACTTAAGCTCGGGCGCCGGCAGCGCCCACCTCCGGTTAGGCCAGGACATGCCGCCTCCCGGAGGCCGCCCCCGCGCCGGGCGGGGACGCGGGGACACGCGGGT